GGAATCGCAAGATGGGTTTGTCCTGTCATTTCTTTGGCAGAGCCCACAGCTCATGACACCTGAGGTGAGTGTTAAAACCTTCTGATCATTTTATGCCTTTTAAAGTATTTCCTTGCTGATTGGACAGAGGGGGAGGGAAGAACTATGTTTCCATTTTCCTGTCAAGGTAAAAGTATCCATTAGTGGCAATTTCCACCCTGCCCAGGTTATTGGCCTGCTGATTGTGTGACTGATTACCAACAAGTCTTTGCAGCCCTGAGACTTTACAGAACCATTTAGGTAAGAATGGATGTTGAAAGTCAAGGCCTGCATCTCACATAAAGACAGACATCAGCTGGGCAGTAGAGGCTCAAGCCTGTAACCCTAGCTACTCAGGAGGCTGAGATCTGAGGATCACCGTTCAAAGCCCAGGTAGGAAAGCCTGCTAGACACTTATGTTCAGTTAACACCAGAAAATTGGAAGTGGTGGTGTGGCTCAAAGTGGTAGAGAGCTAGCCTTGAGCAGAAAGGCTCAGAGACAGTGCACAAGCCCTGAGACCAAGACCACTAATAACAACAACAACAAAAAAGAGATTGTGTGTGTATGTGTACCCACATGCGTGTGCACATGCGTACACCAGTACTGGGGCTTGAAGTCAAGACCTGGATGTTGTCCCTTAGCATTTTTACTGAAAGCTAGCACTCTACCACTTGAGCCACAGCTCCACTCCCACCTTTTTGGTGATTAATTGGAGATAAGAGCCTCATGGTCTTTTATGCCCAGGTAGGCTTTGAACTAAGATCCTCCTGTGTAGCTAGGAGTATAGTAGCCACCAATGCATTTTGAAAACAATAACCAAGGCAAAAAAAAAAAAAAGAAGAAGAACAAGAAGAATGAGGACTTCCACTTTCCCCAGGGAAGTCTTGCACAAAACAGTATGTGGCTCTCTGAGCAGTGCCCAGGCTGCCGCTCCGCAGCTCAGCTCCAGCTGGGCTTCCTGCAAAGGCAGCAGTTGGTCAGTCGCTGCATCAAATGGTCTGAAATTAGCAGGCTTCAAGAATGAAAGGCTCATTGATTTTTAAAACAGGAATAAGAGCTTCCATATATTGCATCTAAATGCTGACTTTCTACTTCTTAAAAGTAGCCACATTTTATTTTCATGCCAGAGGCAAAGCTGAAACATATTGTAAGATAAAGTAAGCGAACAGCTATTGATTTTCATGAAATTATGTCATATTTTTAATTGTATCTCCATCCAGTCAGTTCATAAGCATTTATTGCTACTGTCATGCACACATACATATGCACACAATTATCATACAAAATTATCAGTCTGAGCAAATCAATCCATTTGAAAGGCTGGACATTGGTGGCTCATGACTGTAATCCTAGCTACACAGGAGGGTGTGATTTGAGGTTCCGAGTTCAAAGCAAGTCCAGACAGAAACATCTATGAGATTCCTATCTCCAATGAGGCACCAAAAGCTAGAAGCAGAGCTGTGGCTCGAATGGTAGATTGTTAACCTTGAAAAAAGTTAAGGGACAGCATCTAGACCCTGAGTTCAAGCTCCAGTACAGGCAAGCACATGCACACACACACACACACACACACACAATATTTAGGTATAAACTCAGCAGAATAAATGGAATTCTGTAAGTCTCCAGACACAATATTCTTCCTGCCAGGACTTAAGAACTGAGGTTTAGAGAAAACCAAAAGAATATGGGATGTGTATTGGCTCTATCGTTGATAAGCTCTCTTTCTCATACCTATAAACATTTCCCAAGTCCTTTAGTTTGTTTAGGGGGCACTGGCACTCTCTAAAAAGGGGACAGGGTTTATGGAGTAGCTTTAAGAAAAGCCTGAAAGAAGCTGGCACTGAGTCCTGTCTGTGGGTTATGGGGGGTGGTGCTACTTACAATGCAATCTGGCTTCCCTGAATTCTAATAACCTTTGGGTAATAAATCAGTCTTTCAGCTATGCAGTAGCATTTCAGGCCTGCCTGCTTAATCTTTAATTGGTTAAGCAGCTACAAGCTCAAATTATACCGTTGTAAAAAAAAATCTTGCAATAGATCACAATACTGTCAATTTTCCTCTGCAGAACTCTGACATTCTCAAGCGTAACACCTCTCTGTCATACATTAATTATCTCTATGTCCTTGAAAACAGAGAGCCCCGTAGTTATTATTCACCAAGAGAATATCTCCTGAATGCCAGGAGCTCATGTATGTGCACCTGATTTGTGGGAGGGAAGACACATAGATCTTGAATATGTGCCCCCCCTTTTCTGTAAACTTTGTGTATTTTTCTCTTATCTTGGAAACTCTTCCAGGAAGTCTTAATTTCTGTCTTCTACACACTCTGATTTGCCACTAATACTCCATTCCTTTAGTAAACACTCACTGGGTATTTCTGTGTGCAGTTTGGTACTAGGAGTTCAAATATGGATCAAACTAGTCCCTTAAAAACTAGTCTATCGCTTGCCAGACTGCTTTGTCACTGTCTGAATTACTTGTTTCTTTGTCATAGTGTACCTGGCAAAGGATAAGTCTTATATTCAATGAAAGAGCTTCACTTTGTCTATATGTTATTAATCAAAAGGGAGTCCACGCATGGTTTTAATGAACTTTAATTTATTGAACTTTTTCACTGAAGGAGACTGCTAATAAACCAGATCTGGATGTTTTAATTAGGGAGGAGTTTCTATACTTCTCAGCTCTTTATGTTGGTGGTGCTTTTTTTTTTCTGGTTATTTCTGAGATATTCCTGCTTGAGTATGGACTCAGTCAGAACTGCCTGTGTTAGGCCTGGCAGTAGGTAGAAGAACAGAACCAACGTATCCAGCTTCCTATTGAAAAGGGATCTCTTGAACTTTTGTGCCCAGGCTGGCCTAGAACCATGTTTCCTCTAATCTCAGCCTACCAAGTAAATAGGAATACAAGGTGAGCCCCCAATGCCCAGCTCATTGAAATCATTTTGACTGAGACCTTCATTGTTTGTAGATGAAAGGGTCTTTTCATTTTTCTTCAGAGATTTTTTTTATTTTAGTGTAGCCAAATCTGGCCAAATAACCAAAATGAATACAACTAGTGGTGGTCTTTTCCTCCAGCCTCAGCCTCCAAATTGATAACTTTTCCTGGGAAGAAAGAACTCATTTGCATGATTGTTCTAATAACTGTGAAAAGGACCAAAGGTAGAAAAAATATGTATCTGGAAAGGCTGGTTGAAATTCTCAGAGATCGGAGAAACTATTTCCAAGGGCTTGCTGCAGAGTATAGCCTTCTGCAGAACCTTCTCCTGATTCCCCCTACCAGAAATTACTTTATTGCCTGTGAATTCTCCCAGGAAGTCACTACAGATGACACTTTTCTACTATGTTGCATCTACCATTTTCACAAGTAGCATGTGAGTTCTGTCTCCTGTACTAGCCTCTAACCTTTTTGCTGTGTGTTCCAACGGCCATTAAAGTCTTTCACTTTAATAAATAAGGGAAGTTAGCGCCTGGAAAACTGCCACGATCTAAGTGAACTTGAAACTTAATTTATGCCTTCTGTAAGCCAAGTTCCCACTGATTTCCAAGTCATTTGTCAGAACATAATAAGTGATGTGTGAGGAGATAATAATTTGGCTTTTCAGAAGTTGTATAATAGTCATACCTCATGAAGTGTGGCCCACCTAAGCTCCTGAAAAATCCCAGACCTGAGCTGACTCACCAGCTAATTAGGCTGAAGAGCCAAGAAAAAGACATGTAGAATTATTTTTGCCAAATCTTCCATTCCCAAACTTTTCAATTAAAATTTCAGTGTATGATCTAGAATAAAAGGGAGCCAGGGGGGTGCACTAGTAAGTCTTCTGTGTACAAGAACATTCATTCCTGTTAAGATTACTTACTTAAGACGTAAAAAAAAAACATATCTTTTCTTTCTGCCCTTCTAAATTCATGGCCAAGGCCTCTACAACACAAGAATAACAAGAGAAAAGCATACTAACTTATTTAAATACATTTTAATGTCTACAAAACGCTTCCTAAGGAATGAAGATCCAAAGGGGGTGTTAGACTGAGTGGTTTTTGTTGATTTTTATACTGGTCTTGGGGCTTGAACTCAGGGCCTCATGCTCTTGCTTAGCTTTTTTTTGCTCAAGGTCAGTGTTCTGCATTTTGAGCCACAGCTCCACTTATGGCTTTTTGGTGGTTAATTGGAGATAACAATCTCACAGACTTTTCTGCCTGGGCCCGCTTTGAACCTCTCAGATCTCAGCCTCATGAATACCTATGATTACAGGAGGGAGCCACCAGCACCCAATGGCTGAGTGTTTGTTGTTGTTGTTGTTTTATAGTACGTTTGATGAGAAATGGAAACTCATGGGAAAATATGATAGTGCAAGCCAAATTGTTCAACTTCTCTGTGCACTTGTGTGTTTGGGCATAAAGATCCTTGCTCTTGCGTACTGGAAAGGCACCTCTCACATGGATGGGGTCTTACCATCTGTGGCAAAGAGAGGCCAGAACAGGTGTTATTACTTGCTTCAGGGAAAAATGGTGGTGGGGAGAGATCACAGGGGCCTTCTTGCTTCCGTCATTTTCTCAAACACATTCACCTTAAAATATTCCATCTGTCAAGTTGCCATATTTTGGGGTGACATATCCTGAACTCCATCACTTAGTATGAATTCGAAACAGCTGTTAAATTCTAGAAATCTACTCAGATAAGCAATTTTACTCATACATAAAGATGGCAGAAAATAAATTTGCCAATGGAAGCAAACATCTGCATAGGAAAAGTTATCCAATCAGTATGTGGAATGTGGCTCAATAAGAGGGAAAGAAGATTTTCATCCTTGACCATTTTTTTGCTTCCTTAAAATTAAAATTTAAAAAAAAATAAAATTAAAACCTTGGGCAGGGCACTAGTGGCTCATGACTATAATCCTAGCTACTCAAGAGGCTGAGATCTGAGGATCCTGGTTCAAAGACAGTTCTGCCAGGAAAGACCATGAGACTCTTATCTCTAATCACCAAAAAAACCCACCAGAATTAGAATTATGGCTCAATAGTATAATGTTAGCCTTGAACACAAACACTCAGGGACCATGCCTACACTTTCAGGGCCAGCACACTCACATACACACAAAATTAAAACTGTGAGTCCACTCTTAGCTTTACAATGATAGAATAAAAGGGGAATTAGTATTGTCTTGCTTTTCCCATGGGTTTTCTCAGCTGTTTTCCATGACTCATTCCATCCCTTGAAACACTCGTTTTCTTCATCTCCTGGGTCAAATGCATGTTCTCCAGCTGCTTCTCATCAGCTAGTTGCCATCCTTGCTGCTGCCCTATTGTGCATCTTCACATGGTCCTCAGTTACCAGCCCCCTCACTCCCAAAATAAAACTGGATGCGTGCTCTTCATGAGGTTTAGTCCAGATTGCCCAGCGATAGTCTGAAGATTTAAAAAAAAGCAAACATGATTCGAACAAAAGGCTTGTTAACAATGGCCTAAAATAGAATTGGTAAATGATTTTTAAATGGTTTACTAAAATTGTGTCTTAAATGAAAGCCTAAGTGTTCATGCAAGTTTCTTTCATTTATAACATTCCTCCATGCTAGGAGAGAGAGAATTGAGAGAATTCTTTCAGTCAACAGATTTGTTTAATTGAGCATCCAGTGAATGCGAGGCGTCCTTGTCCTCCGCATGCAGAGGGTCTGTCCTAGTCCCTTGGGAATGCCTGTCACATCACCTGACACTCTTCATGGGAACTGGAAGTTTCCTATCCTGATCTCTTTACTCACTGTCTATCTGTTTGGCCAATGTCTAGAAGTCTTGACACACAGGAGGTGCTCAAGAGGCATTTGATGAATCAAGTGGAGCTCAATGTCAGCAAATGGGAACAATCTAGTGTGAGCACCAGCTTGAGAAAGAAGCAAACCTAACGCCCAGTGATACTTCTTGGTCGCAGTCACCTGACTACAGTACATCCTACCATGAGATGTCCAAACTAGCTACAGACCCTGACTACACTAAGAGGCAAGCACCAAATAAGCTCCGCCTCTCTCAGCCTGAACACAAATGGAGCCTTGATGTGTAATTTCCTGTTGACATATGGACCACCGATGCTCCATCCTTCAGTTGCCCCTAGGTCAGCCCGCCACTTCCTTCCACCTGCTTGGTGCCCTGTGAGACCAACCCACATGAACTATCTTAAACAGGCTCAGCGGATCTGGTCTGGTTTCAGCAATTGGGTGGGGAAGTACTCCTGCGTTAACAAATGCCCACTTTCTCTGTTCTCATGCTATGACTGAATTATGGATCACTCCAGAACAAACAGTGCCAAGGGATGAGCTGACATTTCAGGGGCATTTTAACAGACTAAGGGATTTGTCTAATAGGCTGAGAGATTAGTTTATTGATCCTTCCTGGATCTTGGAGAAAAAGGCAACATTAGTTCATGTCTACTAAGTCAGATGAGCTGACAGTAACAGCATCACTTCCTGACACTCCTATAAACCAGACAGAAATGCCATTTGGGATCAACTATACCTCCCCAAATCTATTCACAGTCATAGTGAGCACGCCAGTCAATGAAACCAAGTCTTCACTCACCATGTGTGCAGATCTTCCTGATCTACTGAGGAAGTAGCTTCTAGTTCTGGGATGGGAGGAAGTATTTCCTTGACCCCAGCCAAGGTTAGCCTCTGTGTGGATTCTGCTATTAAAAAGAAGAACTGGGTCAGCCTCTATGTAGTCCAAGCAAAATAGGAAGGAACAAGGCATGAGAGGTGAGAAGGTACAGTGAGAGGGCCATGTCTACCTCTAAAAAAGACTTTTGGCCATTTGCATCACTTACTACAGTTCCTTTCTGCAATTCTCTCACCTTGAACCTACTTCCCCCACCCTGTTTCTGTTCCCTCCTTCTTTCCCTCACCTACCTGTCATTCTATCTCCTCTACAAAAGACTTGAAGCCTAGTTAAAGAAAAGCAATGCAGGGGGAAAAAGATTTTTAAGCACAATGTCAAGTAGCAAGAAAAGATCTTAGTCTGGACTTGTACTGCAGACATTTCCTTCTAGTATGTATTCAATTTCAGGGACAATTTTATAAAGTTACACAAATTAGGGGAATTATAATTTGTCTTCCTCTATGACTTTGTGACACTATAATGTCCTTCTTGTAATGCCCAGTGATACTTCTTGGTCGCAGTCACCTGACTACAGTACATCCTACCATGAGATGTCCAAACAGCTGTTCTAATGGAGGGGCTAACAATGTTCAAGAGGAAGTGTACTCATTACCTCACTCATGTAACTGTAACCCTCTGTATAGTATCTTTACAATAAAAAAAAAGATCAGCTGTTCTATATCTTAGCATACTTTTCCTAGGACCTGGAGTCTCACTTTTTAAAGCTTTTTTTGTGCTGGTCCTGGGGATTGTACTCAGGACCTGAGCATTGTCCTTGAGCTTCTTTTGGCTCAAGGCTAGTACTCTACCACTTGAGTCATAGCACCACTTCCAGATTTTTCTGTTTATTTGGTACTGAGGAATTGAACCCAGGGCTTCATGCATTCTAGGCAAGCACTTTACCACTTAGCTACATTCCCAGCCCTTTTTTAAGCTTGTATATTGAAGAATTTTCTTCACATGTCCTTATTAAGTTTATTCTTAGGTATTTATCTCCTTATATTGGGTTTAAGTATAGTATTTCTTCTATCTGATTGTTGTTTATATAAATCATTATGTTTTTATATTAATTTGTATGCTACCCCTTGTGAAATTTTTATTTTTTATACTTTTTTTGGAAATTATCTTAGATTTTTCAAGTACAAAATTATATTATCTGCAAAATAAGTGATCCTTTTTGTCTTTTGAATTTTAAAACTTATTATTTCTATCTTGTATCTAATTGTGTTGGATCATATTTCTAATAAGTCACAAGCAGAGTAGAATAGTAGACATCCCTGATAATTTGTGACTAGGCATGTTTTCAGTGTTACCCTATTAGGAAGGTTTCTATGTATTTTGTTTGTGTGAGACAAACATAGTTTATCATGCTAAGGAAATATCTATTGATCTTATTCTTCTTACAATTTTTAATCAAGAATGGCCATCATTTTTTCAAGTGACACTTCATCATCTATAGAGATAATGAAAACATTTTCCTGTTCAAACTAGAAATATATGAGTGACATTAACAGATTTTTCTCATGTCAAACCATTCTATGTCTGCAACAAGACTCAGTCATTATAGTGTGTTGTGTTGTGTGTGTGTGTGTGTGTGTGAAAAATCTTAAAACTATTTTATGGGGGCTTTTGTTGTTATTTTGCTTAATGTTTTTTCATGGATTATACATAAGTAAGACTGCTCAATGGTCTCATGTTAGACTTATTTTGTTGGGCTTGAATATTATTACTAGCATTTATTTCAATAACAGAATTGGGAAACAGCCCTTTTCCCTTTGGTCTGTGGTATGGTTAGATATGGTTTCTTTTTACAACTAGTTCATGTGTTGAAGACTAGGACCCCATTGTGGTGATATTGAGAAGTGATAGAACCTTGAAGAAGTGAGGCCAAGTGGAGGTACTGCTCCCAGGGGGATTAAGTAGTTCCTGGGGGACCCTGGGGAGTTCTCTGACTAGAATTGTTATGAAAGAGAAAACGTGACTCCTTTGGTTCTCTCTTCTTATCTCTTGTGTTGTGATCTTTCCTCTTCACACTCATTCCTACCACTCTAGTATCATCTGCCAAAAGGCAAGCAGAAATCCAAGTGATGTCTTGATTGTCCAGAAGTGTAAGCTAAACAAATCTCTTTTGAAAAATAAAAGTACCTAGTTTGAGGCACTTGATTACATTAACAGGAAACAAAAAAATCTCGTCTATCATAGCTCAAATCCACAGGGAACATGTATTTATTTGAGAATGATAAAATTCTCCTGTGAATTGCTCTTCCTGTTACTTTTTGAGATATAATTGACAAACTTTCTGGTTTTTCAATTACAGTTTAGACTTTTTAAAAATTTTTCCCCTGGTGTCAAGTTTTATATATTTTCCCCAGAAACATTACCTATTTTAACTAAAGACTTAAAAAAATAAGATAAAAACTACTTTATAAGGGGCATGAATAAATGGATGATTTTTCTTTTTTTAAACTTCCCTTGCTAGGTACTCAACCAGGTGTTGTGCACATTAAAACAAGTACTCTACCACTGAGTGACACCTCTAATCATAATAGATGCCATTTTCAGTCATTCCAGCAGATATTGAGAGAGTCTTTCCATATTTGTGAATCCTAAAACCACTAATAAAGTTAGAATATTTTCTTACAGAGGACTTAATCTTCTAAAATCTTCCTTTCTGAATTATTTTTCTAATACTCTCTGGCTGATTAGAACAAAGATGGAAAACAGTTGAGCCTCGGCATTTACCTGGGCCCCATCGTTCCCAGCTCCTTGCTCATCTCCTCACAGACCCACTGCATCTGAGTCTTAGCATCCTTTATTTTTTTTATCTTATTGCCAGTAAGTACCAACTACATCTATGGTTATCAGACTCATCCCACACTGCACGCTCCTAGAAATCTCTGATTTCTATCTTTAAAACTTGTGCATCTCAGTGGATCGTTGTGGTAGACAGAATTTTACGATGGTATTCCAAATTCCTACCACCTGGTATACATTCTCTTTATAGTCTCCTTCCTTGAATGCAGATATAACTTTAAATAGAATGGAGTTTTACTCAGAAATGAAGAGATCTCACAGGTGCAAATCAGCTCTCTCTCTCTCTCAAATCAGCTGATTTTGAATTACTGAAGACTACCTTTAGTAGGCCTGATTTAGTAAGGTAAAAGCCATTGAAAAAGAGACTGAGTTCTCCTGCTGGCTTAAGAAAGCATACTGAAGCCTATGTCCATGGCTGTCGACTGTAATTCTAGCTACTCAAGTTGTTGAGAGCTGAAGACCACAGTTCCTACCCTATGGAGGGGTGACTGCAGGTGGCCTCCAATAGACAGCCAGTTAGAAGCCAGGCCCACCCTCCACAGTAAGTGAGAAGTGAATTCTGCCAATCATCTGAATGAACTTCTAAACAGAGCCTCCTAAAGAGAATCCACATCTTGGTTTCAGCCATGATGGTCCCTGAGCTAAGCCACTCCCAGCTAAGGTATACCTAGTATACCTTAGGTATACCCCAGGCTCTGACTTCTGACCATCAAAACCTGAGATAGTGCTGGGAATGTGGCTTAGTGGTAAAGTGTTCGCCTAGCATGCTTGAAGCCCTGGGTTCAATTCCTCAGTACCACAGAGAAAAAGCTGGAAGTGGTGCTGTGGCTCAAGTGGTAGAATGCTAGCCTTGAGTAAAGGAAGCTTGAGGACAGTGCCCAGGGACTGGCAAAAACAAAAAGCAAAACTGAGATATTAAATATATGTGTTTAGTCAGAAAGTTTGTGGTAATTGGTTACACAAAAGAAAAGTATTGCAGTCATCAACAGATCATTGGCCTGAAAATCACCAGAGGTGGTGCTTTACAAACAAATGCTTGAGCTCTGTTGGCAGATCTGTTGAATTTGAATCTCCCTTCATAGAAACCTGGGATCCTGAATGTTATAGATTTCTAAGTTGACTTGAATGCACAGTAAAACTTCAGAATGAATTTACTTTGCAAATAATTTCTTATACTAACACTTGGTAAAATGCTTTGGCAAAGCATCTCATAACTTCTAGAATTCCAGATTTGGAAACTTTTTTTAGGACATCTTTAGGCTTTTTTTTATTGTGAAGTTACTTTATTTTTCATTTATTTTATTTTCTTTAAGGAGCTGTACAAAGGGGTTTCAATGCAACATAGCAACTTATGAGTTCAAATGCATCGTGATCCATGTCCCCCTTTCTAGCCTTCTCCCCCATCATCCCCAACCCCACAAATCCCATCCAGTTACATTTTCACATTTGTGCATGGAGCATTGTGACTATCCTCACCCAGAAGTCCTTTCTCCATTTATCTGCCCCCACTCTTCCTGAAGCCCCACCCTATCTCAGACAAAACATGGTTCAGCTCCATGGTATTCATTTTGTCAATCTGTCAGTTAATGGTTCAAAGGAGTTACACTATTGGAATCCATCTCTAAATGCCATATTTTAGTCAGAAGCTATTCTTTTTAAAGGACATAGTATCAAAAGAGCCAATTCATAAAACTAATTGCCAATGAAAATTAGCAAATTTCTTTAGGTTGGAAAGCCTAACTGCTTATCATTTGCTTATTCATTCACTTTGCTGATCTTATCTTCTGTTTTTCCTAGGAGCTAATGTCATATAACTTACAAGCTAATGGCAAAACTTCAAAAGAATTGATTTTTAAAAACCCCAAAAGGTAGGATAGCTGTCATTTTAATACCTTCTTCAGAATAGCTGAAGCAGATGGATTTATTTTTTTGTTCTCATGCTACACTGGGAAATAGTTTCTTTTACTGACAGTTTAGGCAACAGAAGCAGTGAGAAACATTTGAAAACTTCACAAATGTCTTTCTATGAATTTGTCAAGTCTCTGACCAAAACATGTTGACTTTTTCCCCTAGAGCCTCTAAAGAACTCAAAAAGTAAAGAAAAAAACTTCTGTGTGAATTTTGCCCTGACTGCATATAACAGTTTGAGTTCCAGCAGTAGAAACAGTGATTACATGAAACTCCATGCCTGTGTGGTTGAATAAAAACCCATATCAC